GTCTTCCAAGTTCTGGTCAATGGTTCTCGCCCGTGAACTGCTCGTCCTGGTCCGTTCGCTCGAGGCATGTAGAAAAGAGATACGGAAAGAGAGAGAGAGAAAGAGAGAGGGAGAGAGTAAGATAGAGTGAGAGAGAAAAGGGGGTAGAATAAGCTCGAATGCTTTTTATCCATTTAGCACGGTGTTAATCCGGAATCCATGAAACACGCGATGGGAGATCAGAATTCCATTTCCCTTCGACTCCCTTTCAGCCGTCGTTGCTCGTTTATCCTTTTTCCAGCTGTCAGCACGATCGAGGGGTGTTTGGCGCGACGAGATCCTATCTCTGGATAACGAGTAAATCCAACGACGGTGGCGCGAGAATGCTGATTGGAAAAAGACCTTCCATCCGAGGAACTTGATTTCGACGTATGAAAAATATATACTGTACGAGGGCAAAATGGATAGTGTATCATTTGCCAAACAGAGGGAATTCCGCTCGCTGGTTAAAAGCAAACTCCGAGGAATTTCGAACCCCGTTGACAGTCACGACGAAAAGTTTCAAAACTGCCCCCACCACTGCAACTACGGCCCGTGTCGTAGCTATACATATACGTATATACATCGTGCGCCGCGTTCAAGTTTCGATCGCAGTTAGCTAGAGCAACTCGTAAGCCCACCCCCTACGGAGAAAATTGCACCCCGAATTCGTCTTAGTTTCCATACACGAATTTCCTCCCCTATTTGTCACGGGTGTAGCGAGGCTACTTATTTGTACACGTCCCCGTAGCCGTGCGCCACAACCATGGAACGCAACTGTGCCCCGAATCAACCGGTCCGGGAATGATCGATTCTCCGAGGGGGTCAGCTTGCTTCGACGAGACATTAGTCGTCGCGCTGCGTTTCCGCTCACCCCCGGAAACTCACGTACCTACACGTATACGGGTAGCAGCCGAACCCGATGCCGCGACTGTGCTCCGTTACACGGCCAGGACGCCGGCAAACGTCTCTGCAGACCGTTGGGCTGTTTGGCGAAATCGACTGGCGGCGAGATTCGATATTACTCCGTCGGAAAAGTAATTTACGGCGTCGTTCGGATTTCATCTGCACGGCCTTCGAAATCGAACGATTCGTAAAGCGAGATAAAGGCCCCGCCCGTCCCGGTTCCCCTACACGCGGCCTTTTTTTTTTTACCTTTCACGACACGGTTGTCAGTTTCCCGTTTTATCAAAGCCCCGCTGCCGCCACCGCGCTATCTATCAATCGATGCGTCTCGGGTTGGTTTTTATTCCAGCTGCAGGCGGGTCACGGTGCTCGCCGCGTTCCCCTACGAAATCCTCTCCGCGACAATTCCTCTACGGGAAGTGTCACGAGGATCGGTGTCCAGATAGCCGAACGGACGCGTCACTCAATGGTACGCGCGATATCCGGCGGAAATTCCGGATAAATCTGTCGGCGAGCGAGTGGCCGGGCCGATCGTGGCCAGGCGATATCGGCGCGTGCACGCGCCACCGAAATTCAGCATATCTGTTCCACGCTCGGACGCGAAGTGCCTATCGAGGCGATTTTTTTCACCCGCAGCCCCAGCCCCGGCTGTCATAATTGCGTCGCGCCGATTGACGCGGATTCGGCCGCCGCGACGCCCCGTATCGCGACGCTTCGAGGCCGCTCGAACGTCATTAATGGGATTTCGACGGGGCAGCGCAGCCGCGCGTGCGATTCGAGGACAATAACGGTTACGGTTACGATAATGGCCGACGATAACGACGGCAGAAATAGCGACAGCTCTATTTTTGTCGAGCTCGCGAAGCAATATCGGTCTAATACGCGGCACTTGGCAAAGAAGAACGGCCTACGAGACTCGCCACTCTAATTGCGACATCGGGACCCCTGTTCCTCTCCAACCAGGGGTTAACTGATTCGATTTTCCCCTCTGCTTCCGTTATCGGGACAGCGGTGAGGGGTTAGGTTTGTCTTAATCGAGAGCTTATGTCACGAGGCTTACGGCGATGGCGGTGGAAATATCGATAACTCCTGGTTCTTGAGATGTTAACGAAATTGTATTAGCAGCGTGGATGTGTTAAAAACGAAAACTGATACAAAGAACCGATTTCCCGTCGCATCGTACACCCCCTGCTCTGTATGTACGTATTTGTCACACGGTACGCGATGCGACTGCGTCTTTGCTATAGTGGGATTGAAGTCGGGAATATATATTGGATCAGCAATTACCATTTTTCGCGAGGAGAGTCACGATGAAGTATGAGAGGAAACGGGGGAAGAAATTTCCGAGGTTCACGATGGAAATAGAGTAAGAGGATATAATAATAATAAGAGACGAGACGCGCGGAATGACATGGTGATTTAGTTGCGATATAGCGGACGCAGTCGAAATCTGGAACCAAGTTCGCGATCAATTATTTCGGACTCTATGAAATTATAACGAATTCCAAGTGAAGGTGAATAACAATTTTCTAACACTTACAGTAGACGAACGAGATCAATTTATTTGCACAAACGTATGTAGAGATATTGCTTGATTGGCAAATATGAAGAACAGGAATCGTTGTTTAATTCTAAAATATATATTTATAATGAGCTAAATGAGACTAGGAGTAAAGTATAAATTAAACGACTATACTGATAATTGATCTATGATTATGCAACCGACCAACACTCTCACGTCAACTCTCGCTAAGAATTCCCTAAAGGACTGTCTCTGAAAGACTATGTATCAAGACTGCCCTTGCGCTCTTATTTAACCCTAGCAGTCTCTCTTCTTGCACACGCAGGCTTTCTCTCTCAATCATTTCCACACGACCTGGCCTGTGTGGACCAAGTACTTCAAACACTCCTCGCTCTTTCTTCCAGGGCCTAGCCCGAACGTTCGAGGTGGTCCGCGAATCATGGGGCGCTAGTCGTAAAGACATAAACGAGGCGCCCATTGACTCGGGACCCTCGATGTTTCTAGGAGTGGAAACAATATCTAAGTTTTCGGACCACCACCATCGCGAAATCCTCGAGGCACCAGCGTTCGGCCAAGACAAATCCTCTCCTCGTTCTCCTCTCTCATTCGACAATCGTGATCGGTAGGACTCGATTGCCTCCAGTGGAAAGGCAGTTTCACAAATTCGGCCGAATTACAGCGACTATCCTCGACTATAGGTTGCAAGGCGTGGCACGACAAACACTATTGTTATCACGGGGTTTCGAAGCGAACGAAGTACAAATTGGCAGCGAAAGCTAAAGTTTGAAGTGGTGCTCGTTGCGCCTGGGAGGTGGCGGGAACAGCCAATCGAGACTGATTCACCTAGCATGGAACGAGCGTAATTTCGAACTCGGGGGACGGGCCACGGGAAAGAAGCGCGACGCGCGTAAGTTACCTCTCGAGTACAATCGTTTAAAGGGGTCACGAGGCATCGGTATCGGGAACGAAACAAATTTCTACCGTTCGCGTAGAATCGCAAATATTTGAAGGCCAGGCAGCCCGACGAGCATTTATCGTCTGGTGCAAAGTGACGCGAGTGACGGCAGCGCAATTACCGACGTCAAATGTTTGCGCGGTAGATAGCTTAATAACGTTGCAGTCGCTTTATAATGCGGGGCTGATAAAATATTCCTCGATCCTCTTTGTTCCTCGCGGCGTGCAAAATTGCGTCGACCCGCGGTCTCGCGGAATTTCTCCTCGACCAGTAGATTTTTCGCCACTGCTCTCTAGAGCAATGGTCCTCAAACTTTCCCGTCCGCGACCCTCTTTCGTCGAAGGAAATTTTTGATCGTCTCCGGTACGCACGTTCCCCGGCATGTAAAATAAGGAAACAAATAAAACACGAAGTGGCAGTAAACGAAATTTAACTTTAAACGATTCTTTGTTATACGTACTTATAATTCTGTTCCGTTTCGTTACATAAACGGCCGGAAATTCACCCTGTTTACAAAGTACGAAATAACAAAGCAAGTTAAGCAACTTGCAATGGAAGATGGTTCGCGCGATATTAATACAACGAATAAACTGACGTTTGCAGGAAAGTAAAAGAACCGTTGATACTTAAAATTTTGTTCAAGATTGTCTTGGCGATACTTAAGAATTCGACGAATAGAAATGGAGAATTTAAGAGGCCCCGCGCTAGGGGTAGATAGGGGACTTCTTGGTAGCCGTTGTAAAAATCAGGTATAATAATCGAGATCCCGGCTACCCGTGCATTATGGCGGCGTGTACGGTAAACTACATAATAGTTAACAAGCTCGAACTTCCAACACATGGGGCGGGAAATTATCTAAGCTACGTCAAGTAGTCTAATATCGATTCGCCATGGTTTGGGAAAATTAATAATTGCCACCTATCGACAAGTATGCGGAGCAACAGCTGCTAAGGCTGATATTGAATTAGCCGAGAAGCCGAATAGAACACTGGCGCAAGAATTTTCGAGGGCACTCGATGCGGAATATTCGCGGAAGGTCGTGTTCGATCGATCGCGGGAAGTTTGCCGGTGAAAAGGAAGGCGAGATCCCGTGGAATTCTCGCGACGAATCTCGTAATTCATCACCGTGCCTCGAAGAAATAAGTCAGCGGGTTTCGTCTCGGACCACCTCGCGGCATTATAAAAGCCGAACGATAATATCTCCGGGGGCTGCGCGAGCTCGAGGGGCTGGAATCGTTATGGCGTTGCGTGCGGTAAATAGATAAATGTCGACTTGAAGTGCATGAAACGGCACGGCGAAGATAGCGCGCGCCGAATCGAGAAAATGTATTACCACGGAAATAATTTGCATTTAGATCCCGCGATATTTCAACCGAGAGACTGCGTTCCGGCGCGTTTTGCAACTCTTCTGAAAATTCCCGTGCTTCACCGTGCTACCTCGAATTACCATCCGCGCCGGTAATGGACAGACCTCGACGCGTTCGTTCGAAATTAAGAAATTGTCCGCTACTCGGGCTCTCGCCATCCGTTCCTCGCGATAGCGTATAGACTGGACGCTTCTCCCTTGTAATTCGAAACATTTCTTCTTCGTGCTTTCAGCGATCACTCATGGCTCGTACATCAGACACTACAGTGCCGTTTGGTACGACACCGCGGCTCTAAGGGAACATCGCAGCAGAAGCCGTCGTGACACTTCAGCTTCCGGGCATCCCGCAGACGCGACGCTGAATCTACGTCTTCACGCCCTCGACAGGTTCGTAAAACCACGTACTCTCGCTGGAAGTGAAAAGAAAGAGGAATCTGCCGGCGATGGTAACGCGGTCAACAGGGGATGGGGTCGGAGCACAGGGACGAAAGAGCTTTATCGAGGAAAATTCCAGTTCCTCGCGGCTGTCAAAGGCAAAATAATCTATGGACGAACGACCGTTTTTCCGACACGTGGTAACAGAGGAATATAAATTTTCATTTCGGCTCGACGTCCACGGACAAACATTGGCCGTGATGTATAAATGATCGCGACGTAGAACGGGCCGGGTCGAGGCCGCGATTTTCCTGAAAATCCCCGGGGAATTTGAATTTCTCGGACGTCCGAATGCGTCGAATGCGAATCGCCTTTGCCGGTATCCGCTTTGAAATAACTCGGCCACGTCGCGGAGAATCTACCCGCCCGCTCTGTCCGCGTCGAAAGTATACGCGATACCCTGTTTACCCTTACGCGAGCATCGATTAAGAAAAGTTTGCCAGTTTCTAGCTGGTCTGGTTGCGATGCAAACGATGATTTGCCTCGTCACGATAGGAGCGAGATAATCATTCCGTGCACGTGGAAAGCGCTTTCTCGCGAAAGTTCGACTTGCGCTACGCAGTTGAGCCGAAGAAGCTGAATCTTCTTGCCAACCGAGACCCCTTTCATTATGTCTCGACCGTCCGAAGTTACGGGTAATTCAACGTGTCAGTAGTCGAAACTAACCTAAGCGGATGGTGTCTAAAGCAAGCGAAATATCGAGGAAGACGATGAAATATTCGGGAGGAAGATACAGTGGAGATATTTAATCGCGAATTTATCGGATTTCAGTGGAAACGGTTAACATTAGTCGGGCAGACGAATGTATCATTTTACCCGATATACCCAATTTGCATTAACATTACGTTTACGCGAACCGCGTTTAAATCTCGCGCCGGGATCGATTAAATAAGTCGGATGAAATAAATATTTCAATGGTCGGTAATAAACCTGGAATTAGCCTGAAATTAGCCGGTTAATTATAATTCGGGCACAGCTGCGCGGAACAAGACGTCTCGCTCGTAGAAAATCGATTAGAGACGTATTACGATGTAACATTTGCCCGAACGAATCGCACGCCGTGGTGGATGCATGTTTGTCCTCTTGTGTGCATCCTCTGCATGTGCAACGATCGTCAGCCTTATGTGACATTGGCTCGACACGGTGGCCATATGCCTCGTCGAGCACCGCGATACACCGTCATTGCGTTGTCAGTGCCATCGACACGAGCTCACTAAATCTCCGCGTTGCGCTCGCGAGACGAGACAGCTCTGTTTCACTGTCGCTCAACCCTCCTCGGCTATATCTCTTTCTTACCTGTCACTGCTTTTCATCCGTCTACCAGTCGTCAGCCGATTGGCGAAAATTTCCAATCCTTTAACTCGTCGACCCTCTCTCCGACATGTTCCACGGACGTTCCATTCTCCTCGACGCTTTCGACTCTTAGCTCCCCGTTACTTCTCGTTCCACCCTGTTTATTCGATTTCCTATCGGACCCATTCTTCATCTAACTTCTCGGCGTCGTTTTTGCCCCGTTTCCAAGCCGACGCTGTAACTTGGGTTTCTCCACCCGACAGTTTACTCTAGTTTTTCCATCCCGGACCACCTCGTCGCATCCGCCCTCGGTTTCTGCTTCTTCGCGGAGAAGAGCATTTGGTCGATACGAAGCAGTCCCCATTCGAGTCACGGGCACCTGGCTGTAGTGCGTCGGCCGAGAGTCGATTCCCCTTTTGATTCGACCTCGAAAACCGAGGGAAATCGCGTGCAAGCCCGAGCCGAGGCTTACCGTGGCCGAGACGCCACACCCCAAACCCCGAGCATCTCGCTGCCCCTCGAGGATGCACTCGCTCTCGTGGCACTAAATTTTCCTCGAAATACGGACGGCGGAACGCTGAGGGAAAAAATACTGGCGGAAAGTGGCGGTGAAATTTATAAATGCGTGCTTCGGTCACGGATAACGCGCGAGGGTGGTTTGGATATATAAGGGGGATGCACCGACCCTCGACCGGTGTGTTGGTGAAGATGCTTTACGACGGAGTCTGTTTCGCGATTTATTGCAGGTTTTATCATTCGCTCGTCTTCTCGATTCGAAACGGAACGTTTAGGGGCTGATTCCTGGCGGACCGCGTGCTTTACAGCTTTAATGGCCCATAATTTAAGGCGGAATCAACCCGGGGGTTGTAGAAAAACCCCGGAACACGGTGCGGAGCGTATTTAAGTGGAAGGATGTTTTATTTGAATACGACGCCGGCCGAGATATCAAGCTTTCCCGATGTTTACTGGCCAGCTAGCAGGCAAAACCGAAAGTTTTTCTTCGCCAAACCTTTCCGGCTGTACCAACTATAAAACGCCGTTTTTATTGCCTGATTCGGTTATGGAGGGCGACGGTGGGATGGTTTTACGACGGGCAGAGTATCAAACTCCAGGGAAAACAACTGAAATTCCTCCGGCGTTTCGATAAAGCTAAGTAGAGGATATATTCGAGAATCCCGTGACCTCGTATCTTTGCCGGCTGTCCGTACCCGTCGGTACTCTGGTCCGCGTGGAAAAATTACGAGAAACGCGCCACTTTGTAATGAAAGCTTCGTGGATCGTCAAGGCAATCGAAGATTCCTGTCTGCGTTCTCGCATCGGGAAGAATTTTCGCCATCTCTTCCCCCCGGTTCGCGACACAGCAGTGGAGAAGACGTTGCGGCAAATTATCGGACTAGAAGGTCGAGTTGTTCGAAAAGGGTAGAACACCCTTTTATGGTTAACCCGCGATACAAAGGGATAGTTAAGAGCGATTGTTATCGCTAGGACAATGGCATCGCGACGAGGACAGACCAGTTGGCGTTATTTTCGAGTTAAACTCGACCCCTTGCAGGATCCACCGTTCCGAATGCAGAGGGATGCAATTAAAATCAGCTACGTTGCCCCGTCGAATCTCGTTTCTTTTGTCGGCGGCGGCGCTTAAGATTTAATTGGATTGTTCGTTAATGAGTGATAATCGGGCAGACTATTGCAAATAAACCGGGGGATACGCTTCCAATTAACCTTAATATCGGTACTTATTGCGCTCGGGCCAATTACGTCGTCTAATTGTAGAAATTTGGACGTGCCGATCGGCAAAAGGGCACCCCGGAGAATGTACCGGAATCAATTCGAAATCGATTCGACCGAGGCGCACGGGGTGACCACCCCATGCCCTCCAAGTACGTGCGTTTCCATCCACGGAATCGTGGTCCAACGATTCCCTGCTTATTAAGCCGTGTTTATCGAACTACCTTTCGCAACGAGAGACAGGATACTCGGACGAGTTCTACCTGCTTCCTATTTTCTCCAAACGCATACGTTCGCGTTCGACGTTCGTGCCAAGAACGGCCGCGGAGTCTCGACGCGCGTTAATGGCGCGATAGGAATAACAGGACGAACAGCAGGAAGTTGGCATTAATTACCAAATACTCGTTGTAGTAAAGGAGAGAGAGAGAGGGAGGTGGACGCGTCCGAAGGCATTAATCAGGCAGGAGTGGTGGTTGGTAGGACGATAGCATAAAGCGGCGGCGATGTGGGCAAGAAATGGCTTTTACTTCCCGCGTTTTCCTCCGACGTGCGTGAAACTGTGTGCACGGGATCGTGTCCCTTTCGCGAATGTATATTACGAGGCAAACGAGGTTGTCGTGGGTGGAGCGTGCATTACCCTTGCAACTAATCCCATTTCTCAATGGTACATGCATCACTCACCGCTCCTGACTAATCGTCCTTTCGAGGAGGCGAGCGTCGTTCTCGCGTAAATTGAGCAATAACGGCGTAACGCGGGCCTCGACGATAATTTTCCTTGCCACGATGCAGCCAACTGTAACCGGGAATTTCCATAAATATTCGCGTTTCGCCGGCCCACCCGCTGTTTCAACTCTTCGAACTCGTTTCGTGTGGGGATTGCTTAGACAATGGGGTCCCGCTTTCGCGTAAACGCAAAAGGTTTTGATTTGCTGCTAATACAACACGTAAATTAGTACTAAAACGCTTGTTGCCGGAATCAGGGCGCCGCACGGTAGGAAAAGGGTAAAGTTTGAAGGAGTTTCGCGTGCAGCGAGGGAAGCGTTGAAAGGACATTCTCGTAGTTTCTCGTTAAGTGCAGGGCGAATTTTATGACATGCTTTAAATATCAAATTAGCGAGGTCGGGAAGCAGAGTGGAGCTGGAACGGAACGTGTTAAATTTGGTATTTTTCTTTTTTCCATTCGAAATGGATGAAGTGAAATTTCATTACAGGGCCGATGCGCGAATAAATCGATTAATATTCTCATAACGTTCGCCGTTCTAATTCAATTTTCCATAAATATCGACGTGGGATTAATTACCCGATTAGCATTTAAACTTAAATTAATTGATAATCAATAGTCGATGGAATTATTAGGTAATTTGGTGCGAGCGGAAGCCTCGCAAAATTCAGGCTGCTCCAATTAATTCAGACAAACGTCAATTCGCTAAGGTATCATTTCGTTTGATTTCCATTTCTCGTCCGTTTCTCGCAGGTCAATTATCGACGGTTACCGAGGATTTCGAAATGGTCGCGCGCCTCGTCTGCAAATAATCGCACGTAATTAACACCTGCAGCCTGTTCTTGAAAAACATCCCTCATTGTCGGAGTTTCCAGGTAACATCCGTAAACCGGCGTATCGTAATTAGAAACCGCGTCTCCAGGATATTTGGCTCTGCCCGAAAACGCACACACGTGCATACATGCATTTCGTTGGAGCTGGCAACGTCACGGCACGTCCGATGCAAATCTGCACGCGATATTGCTATCTGGCGAGTAATGTCGCGCAGATACGCGCCACGTATCCAAACTTTGGAATAGTTGTTCTCCCCATCTAACGCGACTGTCGTTTGCATACTCGACCGGTGTCCGCCAGCTTCTTCGCGAATCGCCTGCATGCGATGCATTCGACACACGTGAATAATGCGCATCGACGTCGGTGTTACGTACACGTGTCGTTGAACGGAGTATTCTAGTTCACCTGATGCTATCCCGGTGCTACCCTCTGCGAAACTGTCGCGTCTACGGCCCCGACTTTCCCCGAGTTCTTAAATTATTCCTCTACGCTTGGTTCTCGCTTCATATTAACGCGACGTCGACTCGGTATCGATTTGACACTGACACGGTATTAATTTATTATTAATTCGACGTCGACTTGGTAATGACTTCTCCCGATTAATCCTCCACCGACGATGCGACGTCAAATTGACGCTGTATTACTATTGGTGACGAGCGTTAAATTATTCTATTTATACTAATTTCTATTCGATAATACGTCAAGTTGACGTTACGTGGCTATTAGCGACAAGGGAAATGTACGTTGCCGGTTGAAAGTTAATTTCGTATCGATTTCGTATGGATTTGACATTGATCCGCCATTGGCTCGATATTAATTTAACATTCGATATTCGCTCGATATCGACTTGTCGCTATCTCCGTACCAATGCAACGATTTAAGAAGATCCGTGTCAATAATTCAATCCACGGTGTGGCTGTCGAGCGAGAATGCGACAACTCTGTTTTCCTCGTCGATTATGTATACGGAAATAATAGCGCTTGGGGAATGTGGACAGAAACGCAGAAGGTACCGGCTGCAGGCAAAGGAGAGTCACGGAAATCTCGTGCAATTTTTATTTTATGTAATCCATATCGTTGCGCTTTCGCATCAAACTTCTTCCCGCGTTTCCGTATATCAATTTGGAAAGTTCCCGAAAACCGTAGCAGCTACTCGAAATGTAAGGAGTCACGGATTTATGCGTTCGATATGTCGTCTGTCGGTGTTTGTTCGGCTGTTCGTCGCGAGCGAACGAACGGGCGACGGAGTCTTATGGTTTCCAGGGAGCAAACTTCCCTATACATGGCTCCCTTAAGATTCACGCTGTAATCTCACGTTCCAACTTACATAATGCAACGACAAACTTGGCAATTACGCGGAGGAATCCGGCGAAACTGTTGATTGCACCTATCCAGATATACCGCTCTGTCAAACATCGTATAGGAGACTCGTTGCGAGTTGTTTCGATCTCGATACTGTATCGAGACAGTGGAATTCTTATAACGTCGTTTTAATTCTCAATTCGATCCGAGGATCATCGCTCGACAGAGATGCTCCGAACGATTAACGAGTCAGTGGAAATCCTTCGCTGTAATTACCGCGAAACACTCGAGTCACCCAACATGGCGCCATCTCGTTATGGAACGTAGTTCCCGAGATAGAATCGCAGTCCTCGAGATAGACTGGCTAGAGGATTGGAAACTTCGATTCCGTGCCTTGGGTGGTGGTTCGCGTGGAAGCCAGCACGAACTGCAAGAATACACGAAGTCAGCGATCAAACATACCAGTCTTCCCTTGTTCGGTCTCGGAATTGGTCGAGCGCAAGAAGTCGTGGCTCGATCCTGAGGTACGCGGCGCGGTAGAAATTTCCTCGTCTTCCAATACGCGACTCCGTTTCTCTGAGTAACAGTTCTCGTGTTGTATTAACGCTCGTGCAATACGATTATTGTCGAGTAACTTGGTGGAGAGTTAGCGAATACCGCAGCCAGTGAATCGTTTACGCGCGTTATAGAACGCCGTTGTTATCCGCTTCCTTATATTCCCTGCTTCTCTTCCGTGGTTCTCGTTATTATACCGGGACCGGGATATTATTACGCTGTCTTTTCCTACGCCCTGCGAGCTAACGATTGCCATGGAAATTGCGTTTCGCAGGTGAGAGGCGCGAGCGCGCGTTCCAACGGCTGTTAGATAGTTTCGTTAAAGGAAGTTTTAATACGTCGGCCGATCGGTTCATTTCCCATTTTCCCACTAATTGTCCTGGTTTTCCAGCTCATTCGTGCTTTATAAAATCTTTTGTCGGGCTAAAGTGACGGCTGGTATTTGGTTAATGACTGGCGCGAATTATTTTAATGAGATTTGTTCCATACCCCGAGACACTTGTGCGAATGCAGTGAACTAGTTAACTCATTTTAACCAAAATTGTTGGCTAATGAGTTCCCCCGACGCGATGGCCAGGCTGAAGTTGGCGAACGTACGGCCAATAGAAAATCCTATTCGAACAGTTAGCTACGCGTGCTCCAATTTTTCTCTTTTTATCCACCTCTTTAATCGAACGGACCACGGATTGGTCGTTCGATAGTCTAAAACGCTATTACTGGTCGCGCTTAAAAGGTATTGGCGTAAAAAAACTGTTTTCCCAGCGAAGAACCAACGGGTCTAAAGGCAAGCGGTATTTCTTGAAGAAACAGCGAGGCTGCACGTGTTTTAAGCAGTTTTTCCATCGAGTTAAAGCTTTTCCTTGCGCCCCGGCCTGGTCCATTATGGAAATTCATTAAATCCCGGCCATTCGGATTCGTCGCTTCTCCCCTTGAATGTAAATTTTCAACCTACCAATTCCGTAATTACTTTCGCATAATGCGCATTTATATGTATTACGCATTTGTAGGGACTTTAAATCTACGGAGTTCGCGCCTATAAATATGTATGATTTTTTTTTCTCCACCCCTTCCCCCCCTTCCTCCCCCTTTTCCCTTTTTTTCTCTTTCTGTTTCGCTGTTATACACTTTCAACGCGTTTAAACGGAGAGTAACGTGCATTATCGTCTCCGTTGGCCATATAACGAATTAACACGAACGGCATTAAGGGTGAAATTTTTTGCAACGCGTCCGCGCAGTCACCGGCGCTAGATCGACCGACTAAATCACGCGTTACATCGTGTAAAATGATTATTGCTACAGCGATACGGTAATTAACGCGTCGTTATAATTTAATTAATGCTCCCTGTAGTGCACGATAACATTACCAATTTCGTTGCATTAGCTTACCCCAACCGCCCCTCCCCGTCCCTGACATTGCGATATTAGTTGGCAAAAGTATGATGATCGCGCGGCGTATCGCGATTCATATTTCCCATACAAAATATCCGCGATCAACCCGATGCATAAATTAATTAACGATGAACTCTCGGACGATATTATCTTTGGCCGGGTATAATATTTCCGCTCGGCGTTTTCCGCTTGATTCCCGTGCTCGCTCTACCCCTGTCGAACGGTCTTCGCGAGTAACATTGTTTTCCGAGAAGTCAGATCGAAGTTTATCTTCTTACACGCGATCCAGGTCGAAGCGAAACTTTTCGGAACAAAGAAACTCGCGCGGAACTTGAACGAAAACCTCGGGGCCCGGATCAGAAATTACATCCCCGGTTAAAAGTCACCCCGTTCGTTACCCAAACGACATTTCATCCCATTTCCATCGATAACTTTCTCCCGGCGTCGTTAACGAGCAGCGCGAAATCAGGTTTGCCGAAATAATAGGCGGGAAAGACGTTGAAAAGCATCGGGGCGAGCGTGATCGCGAAATTACCGGGTTTCATCAATCTTTCACTGCTAGTCGCGGAGATAAAGCCATGCACACGAGGGAAAAGCGTTCGACAGTCGATAACCACTTCATCAGCGCGAATTAATCCTGCACGCGTTGCTTTCAATGTCTCATTAGTTACATTACCACGGCGACATCCGCGCGCACAAACGCGAGCCAGCTTTCTCCGTGATGAATGATTGAAATCAACGGAACGTTAACCATGAAAGGAGAGTCTCTCTCGATCGATAGGCTATCGCGGGGGCTTAGACAATAATTAGGTGAAAACACCGACCCCTCCCGATCGGATTATCGATTGTACGAGCGCACGGTTCTACGTAAACCGCGCGCACGACTGGCTGGAACACGTAAGGGACTGGCTACTACGTAATATGTGGCTCTCGTTGCGTTACATGGCGCGATTATTATGTGACACACCTGTCCCGTGAAGTTTAGTTCCCCTTGCCGCAGTGTTTCTCAGCTTGCGCGCTTCCAGTCTCCGTACCACCACCCCTTTTAGGTGGGGTGGAGGCTGTGGAAATACTTTCGCGAAAATCGTTCCTCCTTCGCGCCCTTTCAACGTATCTTTAACGGGGTTAAATATTTAGGTGGACGCGAAGGGGTAGTTAATGGAGGGGAAAGAGAACCGGTCAGGATAATTGGGAAACGGTTAACGTGACCGAAATGCCAATCGACTACATAACCGATTCGACGTGAGCGAACGAAGATTATTATTAAATCTGTTATTACCGCGTTCCACTCGGTCAGTCCTCTTTTCGAAACCGATATTGCACCTCGCGGAGGCGCAGCGTTCGTAATTCATCGTTTCGGATCTAATAAATCGAGTCGAATTACATTTGCAATACCGGCGTGTTCGCGATTTCGCGAAAACATCATACGTCGACGAGCGTTTGTTACCGGGCGAAAAATATTCCGAGAAATATCTATTCGTTTAAATTATCTTTGCGCCGTTTATTTTCCCTGCAAACGTTTATCGCCGCGCGATGTATCCATTCCGAACTACGAATAGCGCATAGTTTATTCGATCGTTGCGCGAAAACATCATCGTTTCGTTAAACATGCACGATATCGAGTCATGGGAAACACTGTACGCGAATCTTGCAACGAGTCGCAGTTACATCGTGCCAATTGTCGGTCATTAGTATTCCATGGTCGACGATAACGTTACCCCGTGCACGCGTGTACAGGAATCGAGTGATCGATGCCAGGATGGAATAAAATTCGATTACAGTTACCCCGTGCACGCGTGTACAGGAATCGAGTGATCGATGCCAGGATGGAATAAAATTCGATTCGTGTCCGTCGTCTTTACGTCTAACCACGTGTGTCTTGCGTTTCAGAGTCTTCAAGATGAGGCTGGTCAGGGACACGAGCTTATTCCACGAGAACGTGGTCTTCGAGGGATCGAATGGCCGGCAAATCGCGTTCGATCCGAAACACGCCTACAGTGGAATCCTGGAGGGTAAGTGAGCTACGAGTTTGTTCGAAATTTTCATTTCTATTTTCCACCATTTTTCTTTTCCCCTCCAATGGGAAACTGGTTTCGCGAACGAACAAGTAAGGCCGCTAATAACGCAAGGATAATTCATTGAAATGAAACGGACTTGAATACCAACCGTGAGCGCAATCGTTGCGAAACAGAAAGCAGAAACGTATTTGATTTTCTAAACTTTTAAAAACTGGGCTCATTATCTGGAAATATTCAGTATTGCACGGTTCTTGATGTCAAAGGGAAAGGAAATAATAATTGCAGGGACTTGCTTTCGCTCGAAATTACATTATCAGTCGACAAAATATACCGAAGGAGAGAAAGAGAGGGTGGGACAAAGCGGAAACTCGGGTTGCATCGGGTGTAGAGGAGAACAATTTTTGTTACCGTGGCAACTGACAGTAATTCAATTATTCATTCAGCGATTACCCGGAATATTTCATCAACGACTCTTCCGAACGTTCGCGGTTCATTTTCCTTGGAATTTCTACTGGGAGTTTTCACATATTTAAGCGTGGAAAAAAAGAGAGGATGAAAAGGAACATATTACGGGGAGAGATACAGCGTAGCAGCCGGCCAACAGAGGATCGAGCTTCGAACTGGACGCATCCGACGAGAAATTCACGCGCTGGCTCTAATGAAAGCACTTCGCGCTTATTTCTGAATCTTCGCCGGCGGATGGAGGGAAAAAAAAGAGGCGAATTCCGGCTGGTCGGTGGTGAAAGAGCCACTAGGCGATTCCCTTTCTTTCTCGGCCAAGATTCTGCCAGTGAAATTAAAATGCAGACTCGAATCGATTCGCCATAGTCTGGCTCGAATTCCCGACCCGTCTTCCAGGCGAAATATCGGCACGATATTAAGTCGTATATATACACATGGCCGTTCACGAGGATTCAGCTCGAGAGCCGGTCGAAAAGATCGATAGGCAGCCTGGAACGCTGAACACACGCGAACAATTGTACGTCGATGCTGTACGGACCGGGAGAAAACTGGCTGGATGGTGAAAATCGCGTCGAAATATTCTGCAAATAGTTGCGTATAGTATCATCGAGATTAAAGCGTACAAAGAAACATTTGATCGGGATACTCTGGTCCGTCGTATATCGTCGAAGGCCGTGTCTTTCATTTTCGATCACCGTCCCAGCTTCCGCAAGGAACCGGAAATATTTTTTAATACAATGCAGCGTCAGTTGTCGCGAGCAGATGGTACACGCGGCATCGGGATTCAAGTCACGCGGACGTTTCTCGCGCGTTTTATTCGATTACATCAATTTTAAAACCCCCCCACTCTGTCTCTCTCTCTCTCTCTCGCTCGTGCCCGTTCCCTGTGGTCCACGAGCGACACGTAACGAAATTTCAATAACGTGTAACATAATTACGCGCGCGACCGTTCGAATATCGAAATCGCTCGCGGAAAACGCGCACGATTCGTCCATGCTTCCGCTCGTTTCATCGGGACTTCGTACAGCCTGGAAAGCGCGATAAATTCTTTAATAAATTCCCGGAGAAATTCGCGGCCAATGAATTTCACCGAGCACGCGACGACTTATCCCTTTCCTCGACGCTTTTTTCCTCACACCGCCTATCCGTTCCTCCTCCACCCTTGCAATTTCTCGTTTTCCGCCCCGGGCTCTTTTTTTCTCGCCTCCCTCTTTGTTTATTCCATTCTCTCCGCGCGCTCTCTCCCTCCCTCTCTTTTTCCCTTCCTTTTTTTTTTTTTATTTCGCGTATCTCTCTGTTTGCTTCTATACCGTACTCCATCCCCGAACGCCCCGCGCCACCCATCGCCCCCTTCTTTTTGCGTTTGTTACCTCTCTCGTGGCAACGATACAGCAAGCCAAGTGGGTTATTGGATGGTTTCCAATATGCCGGCTCGCTCGACCACTGCGGTACTTTATGCGCCCTCGTATCATTTCCACGGTTTTTACGAGGTGACGTTGCCCCCGGTGAGAGTGGCTCCGCGACAGGTCCAGGATAATTTTTAAGAAATCTTTCGACACCGCTCGCTGCTACGAAACTTAATTGGAATCCACGGCGAGGATTTGCGGGCTCTGCGAAAATATCGTTCGTTCGCGAAGGGACGCGATATTTTATAATTTTTTCCACCGTAACAAATGCGGCTCGCACCTCGAGCGTGGAGACGGTTGAATTTCCTCGGGAAATAGACGCGGTAAATCGTGGAAAAATTTGTAATTTTTTAATCCGAAGGAAATGGTTGAAATCGAGTGGCAAGGACGCGATACGTAACCCGATAAACGTTAATTTGTCGAATCGACGAGTATAAGTTAACGCGAAATTAGCGTTGCAGATGGTAAACCAATCGTCGAGTACTAGAAATACCGAAATACCAGAGACAATGACAAGAGACCACGTTGGTGCAGCGTGTAGTCTACTTGTCTTCGAATAAATTGACCCAGGTTCAGTTTCCCCGATGTGTGAGCGCGTATGCGCGCGCGAGGGAAAGGGAGAAAAGGTGGTGTTTGCGAATTTTTCGCGAATTTTTCACGCATTTAATTCGATGCCTCCTTCACACGGAGTTTCAACTCGTAATACAAAATTCTCTCGTGCGTGAAAAAAATGTTATTCGATTGAATATTTTCGAAATGACGTCATCGTCATCATCCTTGTACCAAATTCGAATTATATAAATACTCCAATATGCATTTCAAATCCGTAACATCCCCCTCTCTTTCTACACGCGCCACTACTCTATTTTAAACGTTAAAAGAATTCCTTGAATTTCCCGAATCTCAAAGCGTTTAAAAAATCCAGTGAGATTTAATGATCCGAAAATCCAATGAATAACATTAATCGCCAATAAAACGCAGAAGAAGTGGAAGAGGAAGAATGTAAAATGCGTAAAAAATAGTATGCAAATAAGGGTCGAGGGGAAGAAGCAGTTGATTTGATTTGGAATCCCTGTAGTCGCGTGTAAACACGTGTGCGGAAGTCAAATAGCGAGTACGAGCGACTAATATGAGCGCTCAAAATTCAATGCAACAGTGTGTGTACACCTAAGCAAACGAGGCATCGCGCTTTAACAGGCTTTCGCATAAAAGCGAGTACACTCGGTTGAAAGGAGTAAATCGAGTTGAAAATCCGAAACTTTGAAGTCCCTTTCTCGTTCGCGTCTCAAAACTCCTCGCTTTCGGCACGGAGCCCTCGTGCACGTCGTCGCGGGGCTGTTTGTGCGCGTCTTCTCGCGCGCGCGCTCGTGTGTGTGTGTGTGTGTATCGCGAGGTATTTCTCGTACACGTAAGTCTGTCTCGTCCGTGGCGCACGATCGAGTCCACGTTTATGAGCACCGTGTACGGTTAGACGCGGTTTGGGTTAGGATCAGACGCGGTTTAGGTTAGGTTTAGACATCCTTAGTACCGCGTGGAGCCATAACGCGGGGGAAAGTTTGTTCGTTCCCTTTACGCCCTGACAAATATCGAATTCAAAGACTCGTATTTTTCCCGGGTCACCGGACTCGAGAACGTAACGCCGCGTTTCTGAGACCGTGAAAATTGAAAAACTCGGGTTTAAACTTCATTGACACGTAAATTATTGCTGGACGGGGAAAAAGGGGGTGCAGAAGCGTGAGGAAGGTTAGTTTCGTCGCATTGCCTTTACGCGACGAATTCGTCGGCGTCCGTTTCAAACGCGGCTGCCACGATTGTGCGTAGACATTCCCGTTTTCGATGGAAACCCGATGGAAACGCGATGCAAACGACCGCTTCGTGGCCAATTAAAAATTCGCGGCAAGTTTGACCGAAGTTCGATATTAAAGCGGCGATACCTCAGTTATTCGGGAGTTCCATGGATGATAACGAAAGATGGTGCAGGGGATATAAATATTCATGGTTCGGCGAAATAAATGTATCACGTGGACGTAGGGCGCGGACATGGCGATTAAAATCGGCGAGACGAAAAATTGGCCGGACGATACATTTTTATAATTAAAACTTCAAAGTGGCGGCAATTTCTGTCGGATTTTATCCTAATATCCCATTTGAAATAACCAAGACACGGTGAAACGGTGGCGGATTTTGCTCTCTAGACTTTACGTCCACGTTTTAAGGATATTAACGTATATTTAAGTGAGAGTTGAAAATGGAGATGAAAATATTTCTCTTTGCCGAGTGAAAATCAGGAAAGTCCTCGGACAGAAGTGCTCTCTTCACGCTCGCGGAGCATTAAAACATTAAAAATATTCGGAACCAAGGTATGTCGGTTTTCGGTTTTCCATGCTAGTGCGGTTCATGAACACGTAAGAGTGGAATTGATATTAATTTCGCATAAATGTTCCCATTCAGCGGCTACCTGTTTCGAGTATTGGTCCGAAATCCGATATTCCGCTATTGCGGGAATAGTTGGTTGCGATCTGTTATTTTATCAACGACTCGTCTTCAATTGTGCCTCCCGTTGCGCGCGTGCATCGATCAATCACAATTACAAGATCACCGTGATTTATTCCCGTTTAATACGTTTAATCGAGTTTGATTCGCTAAAACATGACGTGTTTCACAAATATTAAAACCATCGTTGCTACACGAGTTCGTCTGTATATTAATTTCGCGCTGGCTATCTATAAACGAACTTGTATTACGCGATACGTTTAACGGACTGCAAAATATTGCCATTACAGCACGTAACGCGTGCAAATTCTTCTGCCGTCAGCTTTTCATCCGAAAATCGACGCGGAAATGATCGCTGGAACCGGAATTTCGACCGCTCGCAAAGCCAAACGGATTTCTAAACCAACGAAACATGGTGGCAGCTCGTCGAAAGGAGCTTCCGGATTCGTTGGAATTTCGTCCGACGTAAAATTCGCGACTAACGAACCCGAAAAGCGCGAAACAAGGTTTCAATTTACGCTAGCCGGTCTCGAGCGCAAGTCTCGGTCACAGACAGCGATCCACCGTCTAATAAAAGGTCGTCGTCGTTCAGCTCGTCAACGTCTCCGTCGCGAAAATTAGCATGGAAACGGC